TTGTAGAGCCTGGCTGAGTACCTGCTGTATGAATTGCTACTACATGAAAAATATGACTGTGTTGAAAAATAGCCTTTTCCTCCAGAATTGGTTTTAAATCTGCAAACTTATTTTACCTGTTCTTTAGTTAAGGGCACCTGGGTGGCTCAGTTGGTTGGGCATCTGACTCTTGATTTTGGCTCAGGTCATGATCTCAGGGTTGTGAGACTGAGACCTGTGTTGGGCTCTGTGCTGGGCATGGAGTTTGCTTAAGATTCTCTTTCCCTTTCTCCTGCTCTCTCTCTCTCTCTCTCTCTCTAAGAATAATAATAATAATAACAATAGTAATAATAATAATTTAATTAATATTTCAAAGTTCTTCATTATTAAAAGGAAGAAAAAGAAGACCTTGAAAATATAATACATCTGTTTTCAAGCAGGTCTACTTCTGCTTGAATCCAGAGGTACATATGGGGGTCAGAGCTACAAATGCACGACCAGATAAATAAAATAGATCCCTAGCCCCATTGAGTTATTTATTGAACATTTAAATACGTACTCTTAAAAGACATGCAAAAAAAAAAATTATCCTATTCTTGGAATACTTAGTAATCTAGTATATATCTAAATTGTAATTTGCCAACAGGCTAACTGGCTACATTTTTGGCTTTTAACTGAGTAATAATTTTTTCCCTGTAGTTCTGAGTTTTGACATATGCCTCAAGCCATGTATGGACACCATGAATCTTCACCTACTTCTGACCACTGGCCGTCACTGGTCATCCCACATCTGTCGTTTTGCCTGTTCTAAAATGTCACACAAGTAGAATATAGGAGAATGTTCTTAACAGTTTTATTCATAGTGTTTAAAAACTGGGAACAATCCAATGTGTAAATGCAATCTATGTGGATAAGATCCACAGATTTGTCATGTATAGAGCTGTCTTAGATTGTTGAGAAAAATTTAGGAGAGTAACAGATCTGTAACTTGGAAGAGAAGGAGAGTTGCCCTTCTATAAATAATATCATCAAGAATTCTTAGCACATCTTAATGAAATTAAAAATGAAAGGATGGAGAAAATATATTGATGAGGCTTGAGACCTCAGAGCTAATTATGTGAGTAAATTATCATTTTTTCAGTTAAAAAAACCCTATTTTTATGAAGCTTTTTCAACTTAATTAAGTGTGCCATAATAAACAAGATTAATTGCATACTAGCCAGGGAGAATCCTGGTATCCACAAAAATCAAAGATGAAAGTCAAAATCACAGGATAGATTAGGAAGATAATGTTGTCATCAATCAAAATTTGTCCCTTTAAGTTTGTTTAGCAAAGAAATATATTGAACAAAATTTTATTTTTTATGGGTTTGTTCTAACTTAACATTACTGGATAGAAGCAGCATTTTCAAAAGTAAAATCATTTCATTCATTTAACAAACATCTACTAGTCATCTCTTCAGCAGTAGACAACATGGAATGTACTAGGATTATAAAGATAAATCAAATACAATCCTGACTTTGGGTAAATCAGATTATGATCCAGAATATAGAAAGGCACAAAAAATGGATATAACAGGTGATAGATGCTACATTATAGTGATTAACATAGATTATTTTATCACTCCACAATATTCGTATTGAATATTGTGAAATAATTCTTCAACTCTTCAAATAGATGATAGAAGATTTGCCATGCCATACATTTTACACTCACCTCTAATTAAAACAGCTTACCATGTTACATTGTTATCTTTTGTTTAAATTTTTGTCTTCAACAATAAACACTGAGTTCTTCAAGGAGAGGGGTTATAATTTATTCATTGCTTAATGAAACAGAGTGGATACTTACTAATAACTTTTATGGAAGGAAGGACAAGCAGAGGCAGTGCATATATGGAAAAGGGTGGCCGTGTTACCTGTAGCTGAGAAGGATTTTTCAAGGATTAGTGATAACTAAGAGGAAAAAACACTTAGATTTAAGACAGAAAGATTAATAGGTAATGTCAGTAACTGAAAGGGAGAATAATTTTTAAGGAGAAATGATGTAATCTAGCAGAGTGATTTTGAGATGTTGACAAGACATCCTAGACACACTGTCCAGTAGAAGGCTGGAAATACTTATTTGGTAGTCAGGAACAAGTCTGGTTAAAGATGTGAACCTAACTGTCAAAATCACAGAGGTGGTACGGAAGTTATGGAAGACTAGGGAATTTCCAAGAAAGAATGCAAAAGGTGAGTTCAGATAAATTTCTAAATATTGAATCCCAAAGAAGAGGAAAAAGTAAAGGATTTGGAAGACTCTGTGAACTTTGCAAAGACTTTGAAGACTCATCATTGATATATTTCAAGAGAGAAGGGGTGAAAAGCTGGGAGGCAGGGGAGCATAATGCTAATCAAGCCATGGAACATAATTCCTGGGTTTAAATCCCAGGTCCATCATGTGCTCTTAGGCATGTCATTTAACCTACCTAAAACCACCCCCCTTCCTCCCTTCCTTCCTTCCTTCCTTCCATCCTTCCTTCCTTCCTCCCTCCCCCCTCCTCTTTCTTTCTTTCTTTCTCTTTTAAGATTTTATTTATTTATTTGTCAGAGAGAGAGAGAGCACACAAGCAGGGGAATGGCAGGCAGAGGGAGAAGCAGCGTCCCACTTGATGTGCAACTCGGTCCCAGGATCCTAGGATCGTGACCTGAGCCAAAGACAGATGCTTAACTGACTGAGCCACTCAGGCATCCCCTACCTTAATCTTTACAGTGCCTGTCTCATAGATTTATTTGAGGATTATATAATATAATTAGAAGAGTAGGACACATAGTAAGCACTCAATTCATGGATTTATTGACCTTTGTAAAGGCAATTCCAGTATTAGGGGGAAGATTCTGGAATCCAGAGAAGAGAGAAATAACACTATACGTTTAAAATTTGTGGAAAATTAAGTTTTTTGAAGTTTTTATTTTAATTCCAGTTAATATACAGTGTTACATTAGTTTCCGGTGTAGAATACATGATTCAACACTTCCATACATCACTTGGTGCTTATCAAAAGTGCCCTCATTACTCCCCATCACCTGTTTCATGCATCCCGCTCTCCGCCTTTCCTCCGATAACCATCAGTTTGCTCCCTTTAGTTGAAAGTCTGTTTCTTGGTTTGTCTCTCTCTACTCTCCCTCTCTTTTCCCCCTTTCCTCACTTGTTTTGTCTCTTAAAGTCTACATATGAGTAAAATCATGTGGTACTTGTGTTTCTGTGACTTATTTTGCTTGGTGTAGGCTAGTTCTATGTTTAAGTCTTTAAGGAACCTCCATACTGTTTCCCATAGTGGCTGCACCAGTTTTCATTCCTACCAACAGAGCATGAGGGTTCCTTTTTCTCCATATCTTTGCGAACACTTGTTGTTTCTTGTGTTGTTGATTTTAGCCATTCTAACAGGTATGAGGTAATATGTCATTGTAGTTTTGATTTGCATTTCCTTGATGATAAGTGATGATGAGCATCTTTTTATGTGTCTGTTGGCCATCTGCACGTCTTCTTTGGAGAAATGTCTTTTCATGTCTTCTGCCCATTTTTCATTGGATTATGCTATCAGGAGCTAATATCACAAACAAAATATACAGCTAGGGAAGGATCATCATTAACACTGTTCGCTATAAATTCAAATTTTATTTTCTTCTTGATAGTTGCATTTCTTATTGGTTTCATGTGTGATCTCAACATATCACTGTTATTTTGAATTTATGACACACCTCATAAAACACACATACCAGAGGAGGAAAACTATCAGTTCACCACTGTTCCTCTGTGGTTTACTTATGCTTTCATTACGGATATTCTCCTAATGTATAGATTGTTTTTAAAGGCACTTATCCATTTTATGAAACTTAACTTTTGTCTGTATCTAACATATGTATCCCATGTGTGTGAATTTGTTTAACAGAGCACAGGTAAGCAGCAGGACAGCACAGTAGACTGAGAACCAGCCAGTAAATGAGGGAACTGGGTCCCACCCCTTTGAACTGTGGAGCTGCCATTCTCATTCAAGTTACCCTGCTTATCCTACATTACTTCCACATCATCTGACACATTGACTCAATGAGAGTGCACACATTAGCCTGCACATGAATATTAATATAGCCTATTTTGTTTTTTCTTCTTTTGATTAAATCAAATATATTCAGAATTTCAAATGTTTTTTCTTATGTCCCAATGGATTGCCTAGTTCATCCTGTGAGGCGGGTGCATTCTATTTCAGAATCTATGGCTTTGGTAAAGAAAAGTCTCTGAAGAAGGGAAGTGACAGGGCCAGATGTGAATTTTTGTGATCATTTTGATCATTGACCCAAATTTAGCAATGAAGTTGTATTGAGAAAGACCACAGGCAGGAAAGCCAAATAAGAGGTTATTGTTTATTGATTCCAGGCCAGAAACTGTGAGGTATGGCAGGAGTGATGATATGATAGAAATGAAACTCAAAGTTCAAGTGTTGGTGAATCCTTAGTATTTGCTATGGTAGGAGAAAGAATGTGGATTCTTACTGATTCCTAACTGAAGCACAGTTGTTGGGTGTGTGTGTGTGTGTGTGTGTGTGTGTGTGTGTGTGTGTGTGTGTGTGTGTGTGTGTGTTTGTTTTGTTTTGTTTTTTAAACTTTTAGAACAAAAACTGAATTCTTATATGCTATGTTGCTTTTTCCAGGGGGGAATATCATTGGTGGTTTTATTCTTTCCTGATACCATGCCGTATTTGTTTTAGTGTTTTCATTCATTCTATAGATACTCCCCTGGAGCCTGGATCTGTACTAAACAGTGATTCTTTGCAAATATCAGATAAGGTTATCCTCAGGCCTGGTTTCAATTTCTTTTGTAATATGATTCTCCTAAAATGGAAAGTCAATAATTTTTCATCATGAAATTAAAAAAGTGAGGATTATCTTCCTGATACATGATAAATGTTATATGGAAATATAGGTGACTTCCCTCATGCCTCCTGTGTGTAGTTCATTGCTGCTGTGTGTCTTGCCTTTAGCTGGGATGACAGCAGCTCTGTGAGCAGTGGTCTCAGTGACACCCTTGATAACATCAGCACGGACGACTTGAACACCACATCCTCAGTCAGCTCTTACTCAAACATCACAGTCCCCTCCAGGAAGAACACACAGGTGAGAATTGTCTGCCTTCTTTCTCCAGTGCTTCTCCCAGGTTTACTCCCCAAACCGTTTTGTCTGAGATTAAAATACAGCATTTGAATCTGATATAATCGTATAAACAGAAGCAGCTTGTGTTTATGTATTAAACACATACATGGTCTATTGATTACAGGCCAACCCAAAGACTTACTGTTCCATATCTCTTTTTATAATATTGATATTTTAACCCTAAAAATTATTTTAATAGCCTCATTTTTAGATAGTTCTTGATTAATTTTATATTGATCTCTGAAATAAATCTCTTGAGAATGGTAAATCAAAAGTGGATATTAGATAATTAAGTTTTCTCTTGTCCTCCTTTCCCTTGTTAAATTTGACATAGACAATTCCTTCCTCTCTGGAGTATTTAATTTGGGGTTTTCTGCACGTATTTATTCTGACATTCTCTAATATGTGCAAGTGAGAATTATGTGGCCAAAATTAATGAAACTTAAATGAAGACATAGATAAAAATAGGAGTCTTTGGAATTCTTTTGAAATATAAATCAGTGCTGCCTTTTTTTTTTTTTTTAACCAGTTATCTGAAGGTACATTCCAGGGCCTATTCACACTTTATAGATTTTTCTGCCCAAAGTTTCTTTGTAATATTTTCCTCATAGCTGAAGACAGATTCAGAGAAACGTTCTACGACAGATGAGACATGGGATACTACCGAGGAGCTGAAAAAAACAGAGGAGGACTTAGACAGCCATGGGGATGGCGCTGGCAAGTGGAAAGGTGTTTCCTCAGGACTTCCTGAAGACCCGGAGAAGACGGGACAGAAAGCCTCCCTGTCCATCTCCCAGACAGGTTCCTGGAGAAGGGGCATGTCTGCCCAAGGAGGAGCGTCATCTAGGCAGAAAGCTGGAACGAGTGCACTCAAGACCCCGGGTAGGCTTGTCACTTCACAGCTGTTATGCAAAAATGTTTTAATTTACAGTTTCCATTCCATCTTTGTTCACGTTAATACGAGTTTTATTTTTAATTAAATCATATTCTTCTCTGTATAGTTATTCTTTTCCATGTAAATTTCACATACTTTACCATATAAGTCCACAATAATATAACAATCTAGGCGTTCTTGAGGGAGCTCCATTATAATTTGGGGCTATTGAGTGTCTTTATTCTGCCGTAGTCATTTCTGTTCATGCGGAAATAAAAGAAATCGGCTTAATAAAAAATAAGATTGCTTTCCTTCTGCCTTCCTTATGAAAGTTTGGACTATTTATGTTAAATATGCCACTAAATTTCACTACCACCACTGAGAGGCAAGAGCAATCACACTAATGTGATGAGTTGGAAGGCTGGAGATTTGAAACAGCATTTGTGAATTATACTTTATGAAAGAAGAGAGTGAAAGACTTCTGCCAAATTGTACTATCTTTTTTTTTTTTTAAGATTGTTTCCCTATTTTTAAAATGGTGCCTAATTTTAAATAGTGCCACGGGAGGTATTGTTGTACCAGAGGCCTCTAAGTAGAAGCATCTTCCAGATATTCAAATGAATTCTTTTTCTAGCACTTAGCTTGATAAGATTAAGTGCTATCCTGATAAAGGAAGAGAGTTGTGAGATATAAGACAATAACAAACTGTAAAAATATGTGTTTTCATTTTATCTCCTACATCACTCGTCACATTTCCTCGAAGAGCCATATTTTTATAGCTTTGTAGGCAATCCTCTCGATATGTTAAAGCTCGTACCTATTGAGATCTAAATAAATAGATAGAAACTGAAGTAATTTAAGATGTATTCACATTTTTACACGTCGTTTACAGAAAGATTACTGTGTTCATCAAAAAGCACAGGCATGTATATCTGTGTATTTCTCGTTAATTAGGGAAAACGGATGATGCCAAAGCTTCAGAGAAAGGCAAAACTCCCCTAAAAGGGTCCTCTCTACAGAGGTCTCCTTCAGATGCAGGAAAAAGCAGTGGAGATGAGGGGAAAAAGCCCCCATCGGGCATTGGAAGATCAGCTGCTCCCAGCTCTTTTGGATTTAAGAAACCAAGTGGAGTAGGGTCATCTACTATGATCACAAGCAGTGGGGCAACGATAACAAGCGGGTCGGCCACCCTGGGTAAAATTCCCAAATCTGCTGCCATTGGTGGGAAGTCAAATGCAGGGAGAAAAACCAGTCTGGATGGTTCCCAGAATCAGGATGATGGTGTGCTGCACGTGGGCTCCAAGACCTCCCTCCAGTACCGCAGTTTGCCTCGCCCTTCAAAATCCAGCACCAGCGGTATCCCCGGCCGAGGCGGCCACAGGTCCAGCACCAGCAGCATTGATTCCAACGTCAGCAGCAAGTCGGCTGGTGCCTCCACCTCGAAACTCAGAGAACCCACTAAGATTGGGTCAGGGCGCTCGAGCCCCGTCACTGTCAACCAGACAGACAAGGAGAAGGAAAAAGTAGCAGTCTCAGATTCAGAGAGTGTTTCTTTGTCAGGTTCCCCCAAATCCAGCCCCACCTCTGCCAGTGCCTGTGGGACACAAGGGCTCAGGCAACCAGGATCCAAGTATCCTGACATTGCCTCACCTACGTTTCGAAGGTAAGAATGTGTAAAATGATGCTGGAAAAATAGAAAATGCTATACTGTAGGATTCATGGGAACTGTTTAATAAATATAAATAATCCACGTGTGTCCTAAATCCTATATCCTAAATGTATGTTCTAAAGTTCATATATCTTAGATTCTTTTAGTTTCTGAGTGCAGTGAGTTTCAAAGAGCTGATCTTTTAAATAGCTAGGGGAAAAAATGGTGTTCATTTTGAGAAATGCTCAAACTTCTCAGTCCCACTATCCGTCGAATATTAGCAACACAAACAGCATTTATAAGAAACTTAAAAATAGATGGCAATACCGAGGGGTAGTAATAAAATAATCACTTGTAAAGTTTCTGTAGATTTCCATCTCTCCTTTTCACAATTAAAAATAAAATAAAATAGGTTTTCATGACTATTGGTATTCGTTTCCAGTGTTTATGATCTTGCTGGCTCTTAATGAGTCAATGATCATGAATGTAGATGAAACTGTTTTCCTTGTAAGAGATTAGATTGGAAAGATTGATGTAGCACCATATCTTAACATATTAATGAAAATCAAGGTATGATATCATGGACAGAATTTGAAAACAGCTGGATGTTTCATATAGGGTAACAACTCTGGGGTGGGTGAGGATTCGTAGCTTCATCAGCTTTCTGGGTAGGACTCTGATAAGCAGTATAACTTGGTTACTGTATAGGGACTATCTTTAGTACTGAATGTGTGGACTATGATTGCTTTAAATACTAATATATTTTAAGTGGCAAGAAAATACATAGCCCAAAATACTTGGGACAAATGGTTAAACCTCTCTGGTTCTGTTTTCTTGTTTATGAAATGATAGAGTATGATTTAGAGTCCACTATATGTTAAGTATTTTAAATGTTTGTTTTTATTACAATGAATAAACCAAGAACCTTGATAACTGGGAAATAAAGGGTCTTGGGATATTTACATTTCAAGCGATCTCAGATACATGATTGTTTGAAAGCCTAGATGTTATATTCCTCAGTAGAAATATTAATTCTGCAAAACTGGCTTTTTGAAATGTTTATTCTCATTGGAAAGAATAATGACTCGTAGTGGGAGTAATTATTTCTGTTGTTTAAATAAAAGCCAATAGTGCCCTCCAGTGGCCCATTACCTATGAAACAATTTCTCATATTCGTCAAAATATTTCACTATAGGAAATACAGATTTCATTGCAACTTAATTAGTTAGTAATCATTACGCCATTACTTCATATCACTTTATTTCCATATTTACATAAATTCGATTATATCATCTGCTCCATTTACAAAACTAAAATGTTTTCTGAACTGAACTCCAACATCTAAGTTAGCACCAACTATGTTTCAAATCACTATTATAAATATGTACTTGAATAGCCCTGGCAACGGACATAAAACCTCTGGTCTCTCTTGAGGAAAATACACACAAACCAACATGTTGCCAACAGTGTCCAATCACATTTCTAACCGACTGCCGTCACTCAGGCCACCAGATAAGTAACATAATCTCCAAACCTTGCCTTAAGCACTCCTTTTAGTTTCTGAATAAACTGTTACAATGAAAAAAAGGAAGAAAAAAAAATTTAAGTGTTATGTACCGAATGCGTAGAAGTTGTTTCATTATAATGGTTCTGTAAGTAGGTAACAGCAAGTGTGCTCAAACTCTTTAATTTTCTCGAAAGATTCTGATGATCACTTAACCTGTGAAAGCCAAGGATTTTCATGTTTGATCTACTTTTATTTTGCCCCTTTCCTCCCCACCCCCTGGGTGGCAGCCCAGTACCAACTTACACTTATGGTGATATGAGAGATTTTTTGGCACGAGATTAAGAAGTTCGAGCTTATAAAGTTCAGTAACATAGAGACAGGAAGTGCTTGGCAGCTCAGACGCCAAAGCACACTTGGCTCTGTGTACTGTAACCCTAGATATTTAATGTGGATATTAGTGTCTTGGAACAACTGAAGTTGTTATTTGTTTTTCTTTTAGGTTGTTTGGTGCCAAGGCAGGTGGCAAATCTGCCTCTGCACCTAATACTGAGGGTGTGAAATCCTCCTCAGTAATGCCCAGTCCTAGTACCACATTAGCGCGGCAAGGCAGTCTGGAGTCACCGTCGTCTGGTACGGGCAGCATGGGCAGTGCTGGTGGGCTAAGTGGCAGCAGCAGCCCTCTCTTCAATAAACCCTCAGACTTAACTACAGATGTTATAAGCTTAAGTCACTCGTTGGCTTCCAGCCCAGCATCGGTCCACTCTTTCACCTCAGGTGGTCTCGTGTGGGCTGCCAATCTGAGCAGTTCCTCTGCTGGCAGCAAGGACACTCCAAGTTACCAGTCCATGACTAGCCTCCATACGAGCTCTGAGTCTATTGACCTCCCCCTCAGCCATCATGGCTCCCTGTCTGGACTGACCACAGGCACTCACGAGGTGCAGAGCCTGCTCATGAGAACGGGTAGTGTGAGATCTACTCTCTCAGAAAGGTGAGCTTTCCTAGAGGCATTGATGAAGTCTTCCCCCTCCTTCCTCTCCACGCTGTGCCTACCCTCCTCCCCCACCAAATTTCCTTGATGTCAGTGGGAATGCCACTCTGCAAAGGAATATAAAATTAAAGGGATAGAAGATAAAGGAGGCTGGGCCTTTTGTTTGCTCTTACTACCAAGTTCGTAGAACGAAAAAAAAAGCCATGAAGAATAGGGTAATTGTATAATTAAGTTTCTTAATATGAATGCATACATATGTACCAAACAGGCAATTTGAATGAAATTTGAAGCATATGTTTATGTATTAAATGATGTCTTCTCAAGACATGTTAATGATTTGGCCTAAGCTCCAAGACAACGAAGCTCCTTATGATAATTTGAGCATTTTTAAAGACTGTATTTAAATGGATTTTACAATTATGCTCTGAGCAATATGTTAAGTTTGCTTTATTAGTGCTTATATAGGAAAAGAGCAAAAAGATCACTGGGGAATCGTAGTTGAGTTGGAAAAAAAGCCAATTGTCAGCTATGAATTCTTAGAGAAAATTAATAACACCAGTAATATTTTTAATAGGCCTCTTGAAAATAAATCATTTTATAAAGTGTTTCCCATTGGTTTAAGCAGGTTTTTTTTAATTTACAATGAGAAACATAAAGAGGTATTCTTTACTGAATATGCTTACCAGAAAGTGTCACTGTTAACCAAAATGTCTTTAGATTCTCTCACCCCAAAAATCCTTTCTCAGGTATTTTGGTGCTGACTCCTTCCTCCTGGAAAATGTCCTGAATTGCCTCTTTTCCCAGATAAACTTAATGTTATTTGTTTCTTGACACACCTAAAGCTTTTAAAAATGCTGTTGGCCACACATCTTAGTTGTGTTGTTTGTGAAAGCACTACCAGCCACTGGAAATGCCCAATATGGTTCCCTAAGCTTTTGCTCAGTCTGTTACTGAGGATGACCTATCACCTCTTTTCCAGACTTCCAGCCTGAATTCTAGATTCATTTTTTTAAAAAACATTGACTAAAGCTCTTACCTAGACTCTTACCACATGGCACTAGTTGTCCCTCAATCTAAAATTTCCCACTGTTCTTCCATTTCTCTTGTCTTTGTGAAATGTAAAACATGGCTTCCCTCCCACTCTACCTCTTGGTGTCCTCATGGACACAGACAGCCATGCCCATGAGACATCCCCTGATAAGAGAATTATTTATATTCTCTAAATTCTTTCTAAATATTTATGCTTGATAGTTCCTATGGTAAGCAGGTGATTATAAAATAATGTTTTTCTTTATCAACAAAAAACTGGGCCAAGAGACACAAGACAAACATGGGGGATAGAGACTAAACTGTAGCCATTTGCATCTGTGTCCTTTCTAGTTTTGTCATTATAGATAGCATATGTAAAGATCAACTATATACATGAAAACAAGTACTATTTCATTTAAGTTTCTAGCTCAGAAATTAGGCTTCCTCCAGCATCTTGGATTTAAGTTTCCACGCTTTAAGGTAAATGGGCACTTTCGTATGTCATTTTTAAGACTTGTAACAAGTAAATCAAATTGTATTGAAAATCTGTTAACAACCTATAGTTTTAACGAACGCATCTTTGATTGTATACTGATATGCGAGGAAGCCAAGTAACAATTTCATAAGCACATGCAAATAGGTCATTATTTATTAACCCAAGTCACCTTCCAAATTACTAATTTTTTAAATCACCAATATGGCTGCATTAAGCTGACCATTTAGCCATCAACCTATTTCTCTAGCCTTCAGATATTAAAAAATCAGGTATTGGTGGTTCAGTGGTAGAATTCTTGCCTGTCAGGTATCAAAAAACCAGAAAAGTAGACAACTGTTTGTAACCAAGTAAACTTCAAATCAAACCAGAGAATAAATTGAGTTTTATAGATACAAATGTAATGTTAGTATTTTACTTTTATCTGTATTTTAGCAGAAGCCAACATACATTTTCATTTACAAATACCCTGGCAAATATGTAGTCACAAATTTTCTTTAAGTAAATCTTCTTATTGTTGATCAGTTTTTGAAATAGACCAGCTTTACAAATGGGAGTGTTCCAGTATTAAAAATAACCAGATAAATGATTTTTCTAAAATAAACCTTAGGCTAATTTAAAATAAATTCATATTTTGCCCTTGATTCTTAGTGCAATGTATTGATGAATAGTAAAGTGTGAAAAATAAAATAACTTTCCTAGGTATAATATATGATATAAATATTAATTAATTCCTCTCAGGATATTATTGGTTTGAAATAATTTTTGATATGAGAGGTTGTACTTTTTCTTGGGAACAAATTTGCAGGTAATAGCAATTTATTCTAATCTTTAAAAGTATATTCGAGAAAGTTTATGACCTATTGAAGAGAAAATAAGATCATATGAGAGATCCAGTCTTAATTAGAATTAAGCAGCCAGCAGAACGTTGGGAATGCTAAGGAAACGAAAGAGCCACACCTGACAGAAAATGTGCTAATGTGTAAATATTGCAAACAAAGTAATTAGAGTGATATGATAGAGATGTGCAAAAGTTCAGGACTTACCTATCTACAATTTCAAAATATTTTACTGATATATTCATATCTTAATATTATTGAATCAATAGTTTTTCATAAAGCTTTTCACTTGGTTCAAATTCCTTTTTCATTAAAATGTCATAAAATAATAAATAATCACAAAAAATTCTTCAATAATTTTCCCTCCAGCTGCTCCAAATCATGGGTGGCCCCTGAGCCATAACCAGTTCCCAGTTATTTTGTTTAGTTTGTTTTGCTTTTTGTAACCTAACCAAACTTTTTTTTTCCTTACCTAATCAAACTAAAAATAATCTAAAGTAGTAATAAACTTTACACATTGCTGGCTTGTTTGGAAATACCAGCTCAAGTAGCCCTGCAGAGCTTCTGTTGGCTTGGAACAGACTGGGCCTGACCTCCTCAGACTGTTGGCTAAAATCCCGGCTCTCCCTCAGTGTTGCCACTGCCTGCTGGGTCCTTGCAGGCATAGGAGCTTGTGACCTTTCAGGGTGTGTGGGAAGTGTCTACATTATAAAACGATTAGTATCCAGATTCAAACAGATATTTCTAAAGTTTTAAAGAACTTATATTGGCCAATTTAATTTTTTTTTATTTTTCTTTCATTAAATTCTCTGCATGATATAAATACATGCACTTTAGACAATTGATAATTATGGCAAACAGTGCCTATTTTCAATCTCCTTTGCAATGTCAAGCTTTAATAAATCTGCATGTGTGAAAAAGATAACCTTTAAAATGGCTCATGACCATATTAATGCTTTAGCTTGACTATAGTTCCTATTTATAGGTTTTTCACATTTGTTCAATCTGATTCCTTTTTGTTTGCTTATGCACACCATGAAAAAACCTTATGTAGTCAAAATGTATACTAGAACTGGTGTCTACATAACAGGATATTTACCTTATGTGGACATTCCCAATAAATAAAGTCATTTAATGTCTTTGGTTGCTTTCTACTGCAGTGCTAAATAATGGAGTACACATAGAAGAAAACATTTTAGCTTTGATTTTGAGTGATTAATTTTCAAATCGATGTGTTTGCATTTGTGTTATATCATCCCCATTTTGCATATCCTGTGTATTTATTTTGATCATTGGAGGTTCTACTGGAAAAGAGCTATCATTCCTCAAATTCAAATTAATTTTGTTCTTTGGTTATTCACATGCCAGAAATTGTAACAGAAATCCCTAGACTTGTCCCACTTAGCTGTTGACACCCTCTTCTATTTTTAGAGAGGCCATTTCTCATTTTCTCCAGACACATCCTTTCATCCCTTTCTATGGCCAGTTGAGAATTCTTTAAAATAGAGCCTGATAAAACTTAGAGCCTTTTAAATACCTAACTTCGAATTTCCAAAAGATGGCATAGATTAATTCTATTAAATATTTAAATAAATGGTGCCAGAAACATTACATTTCAAGCAGATATTTATTATATTTTTCTTTTCTTCTATACAAATGGAATGATCTGA